TATATATATATATATATATATATATATATATATATATGAGATACACAAGGACTCACTATCAGAGTATATAAAGAATTCTTAAAAATCAATAAAAGACAACTTAATTTTTTAAGTGAGAAGAGATTCCCAAATCAAATGGTCAATAAATTTATGACAAAGTGCTCAATAACATTAGGGAAATGAAAATTAAAATCTCAATGAAATACCCATTACTTATCTATTAGAATGTCTAAAAATACCAAGATAATAGGTCAGCTAGAACTCTCATACACTGCTGATAGCATTATAGATTGGTACAACTATTGTAAAATTGGTTTTTTTTTTTTTTTTTTGGGGGGGGGGAGGGTGGTACCAGGGATTGAACCCAGAGATACTTAACCACTGAGCCACATCCCCAGCCATTTTTATTTTTATTTTTTTATTTTGAGACAGGATCTCACTAAGTTGTTGAGGTTGGCTTTGAACTTGGGATCCTCCTGCCTCAGTCTCCTAAGTCACTAGGATTACAGGTATGCACCACCACACCCAGCCTGTTTGGTACTTTCTAATAAAGCCAATATAGAATGTTCTATTATTATATGTCCAACAGAAATGAATGTTTATGCCCACCAAGAGATATATGCAAGAAGATTCACAGCAGTGTTAAGTCATGAAAGTTTAAAAAAAATTTTTTTTTAATTGCAAACAATTCAAGTGTTTATTGACAGGAGAATGGACAAATTATAGTATCCTTGTACAATGGATTATTACTGAGCAATGAAAATAAACCAGATACACCACATGCAACAAAGATGACTCTCAACTTTTAGGGACTTAATGTTGATTGGGAAAAAAAACACACACACACAAAAGCATATATGTATAAAGTCATTTTTATGAAGTTCAAAATTAGGCAAAACTAGGTTTGAGGTTGTGACAGAGGATACCTTCTGAATGAAATATTTACTAGGGCAAGAGTTAGCTGGTTGTATCTTGATCTGGGTAATAGTTATATGGGTACATACATACATAAAAGCTTACCAGCTTTATGCTTATGTTTTACATACTTTATGCAAATACCTCAATAAAAAAGTAATAAAATAATTCATCACCTGTTATTCACTGTTCTTTGAAAAACACCTCACCATTTATCGCTACTGTCTTTCTTATTTTCTTGGTACTAGGAATTGAACCCAGGAGTACTTTACCACTGAGCTACATTCTCATTCCTTTCTATTTTTTATTTTAATACAAGAGTTTTGCTAAGTTGCTTAGGTCTCACTAAGTTGCTGAGGCCTATCTTGAATTTTCAATCCTCCTGACTCAGCCTCCTGAGTCACAGGATTACAGGTGCAAACCACCACACGTGGCTTCTACTACTCTTATTGGTAAGAGTCTAATGACTGTAGAAAATAGACTTTGAGCCATATTTCAAGTCCTCACACATGAGAAAGTTTCCAGCCAGACCCTAGGCCCTTACCCTTTGCCCACCCCTTGGGGTGTCCAGGGATTTGGAGACTCTCCTACCTGCTCCAGCTCTTCCTCAGCATATTTTTGGCGGCTCCGCTCATTCTCAGTACCCTCCCGCAGTTCCTTCAGCCGCTGGGCTTCCTGCTTGGCCAGGTTGATCTCATCACGTAGCTTCTTCTCCAGATGGACTTTCTCCACCTCCACTGTGCGGTGTTCCTCCTGGGCCTTGTGTAGCCTGAGGGGCAATGTAGGGAGCTGGAGGAAGCCAGGCAAGGGGATGCCAGCCAACATGCCATGAGTCATGGCAGCAAGAAGGAAAATGAGAGCACTTGCTCTCTGTATTCATTTTCCCTACTCTGCTAACTGGCTAGCTCTGTTGGCTAGGATACCATAGTCATTATCCTAATTCTTACATTGGCCATCATTTGGCTGCCAGTAATTAAGGTGTGAAGTCTGGTTCCCAGGCATCTGAATCCCTCCTCTAAAGTATCTCACATACTACAATCATAACAACCATCAGTTCACAAGGCATTTCACATTTATTCTCCAGGCAGATAATGATATACTGGTATCATTATCACCTGGGACAGATGTGAATATGAAGGGTTAGGAGAAGGAAAATAACTTACAGGAGGAACTGAAACTAGAATTAAAATTATTGTGATTTCAAATACCACAGTATTTCCCTTATTTTGGGGTATCTGGAAGGTTCAATTAATGTAGAACTTTACAAGCTATACAAAATCCAGGAAAAACCTAATGGTTGAGACATGAATGACATGAAAAAAAGTTCAGGAAGATGACAAAGTAATTATTGAACTGGACCTCTTCGACTACTAAGCATCTGATCCCAGAAGCACAGAAAAACAAAATTCATGCCAAAGAGGATCAACAGGGTTTGGAGAGCCCCTGCTGCCCCAGGTTCTGAGGTCTCTTCCTAGGTATCTTCCACAGTAAGATCTCAAGGGTATCAGTCATAAAAATCTACTTTTGTACCCACCCACATATTCCCTCTACTCATTGACAAAACCTTCCATCTAGGAAAGCCTTCCTTCCTCTCTTCTTTCCTCCACATATCTATCCATGTTAATTTGTTCATTCAGCCATTCACCAAGTTCTGTCAAGGTGCCTACTAAATGTCAAGCCCTGTAATATTATGGAGACAAATCACCAAACTGTCTCTCTCACTGAGGTGCTTAGTAACCTAGTTCAACAAATACAAGTAAACAGTTAACTGTCTACAGTGTTGTAGGTTCTACAATGAAGAGAACCCAAAGGACAGCATAATCAACTCTGCCAGAGAGGAGTTAGAAAAGGGCCTCAACTAGACCCAGATGAAAGGGTAAGAGCTTACTAATCCCACTAAAAAGGGAAAGCACCTGTCAGGTCTTCCTATTTTAATAGGAACACAAAGTTATCAGTATACTATGATAGGAGGATAAAATGATAAAGAAGAAAAATATGAGATAAAGAATTGGGGTATAGAAAACTAAAGATTGACTAAAGTACAAGACCCATCGAGAAAGGCAATGATCACTGAGAAGAGGCAGAAACAGAACTCAACCTTTTGGGGAAAAAAAAAAAAAAACCCTAGTCCAGAGTTGTCAGTGGCTGAGGACTCCAAAGATGTGGTGGAATAAGCAAGGAAGAAATATTAGCTACAAGCTTCTGCTAACAATTGTAGTCCGCTGCCTAATTTGCCCCTGGAGAGAAAAAGGAATTGAACCTTCTCAAGGTGTACAACAGATGGTGCTACAAGCACAGTTAAAAAAAAAAACAAAAATCAGAGGTGCCATTTCCTGCCTGCATCTCCTTCCCGTGCTGAATATCCTCCTTTATTGTACTCTTCTTCCTTTACTGTACTCTCCTGTAACCCAATTGTAAGAAATTATACCATTAGGGATTTGATTCTTCACTGAAATACTGTCCTTTCTGAAAGATATCTCCTTAGAAAAGCCAATACCATGGTATGTCTGCCCTCTTTCTGTAATAAGGATCTCCTTCAAAGTAGAACTGAGCCTAGTCCATTTTCAAATTCCCAATAGGATCTAGCAAAGATGGATATTGATAAATATTGTTGGGTGCAGAAATGAACAAATAAAAGCACTACCCCCACCCCAAGGCAACAATGAATTAGCATTACAAAGAAGAAAATTAGGCACCGAGATTGCATGATTGTGAGTCCTAACTCCAATCTCAACCAGTTTTTCCCCCTTTCTTCACAGCAAAATAAGAATCAAAATCTCTGCCTGTCTCAAAGAATTATTTTGAAACCCAGTGAAATCCTAAATGGAATGTACAAATAAATGTCAAATTACATTTATTTACTCAAAATATCAGGAATTCTGTAATTAAAGCTCTGTAGTGGCTGGCAATGGAGATCTATTAATGTCAAGGTGGCATGTAGGCTGTTGACACTGTTAGAGGAGGGTATGCGAGTATGTATGTCCAAGTCCGGTGGGGAATAGGGCCTGTCTCTAAGTGCTACAGTGGTCATTAAGCTCAGGAGGCCTTAGGGAGCAGGGAAGGCTGGAAGCTTAGTTTTACCCCCAAACTTGGAATGTCTCCTGCCTAGATTCTTTTGTCTTTGGAATGAAAACAGTACATGTTTTTCAGACAAATGAACTATGGGATTCCTCAGACAGCAGCAATTAGTCCCTATGTGGCAAAGGGCTGAGGAATAAGGGCCCAGCAGAATAGCCAGGATTCAGCTAAGAGATCAGAACCCCTTACTCCCTCAAAGCCCATTCCATGGAAATGAGTCTGGTAAGCCTGCTGCCTCAAGTAAGGCTACCTCCCCTCAGTCCCATATCATGTCCTCATTGCCCTTTCCTATATGTGAGTTTTATTGCCCCAAAAGCAGTGAATTTCTGGTTCTTAGATGTCAGAAAGTTCAAGAATTGACTGACTGACGACTGATACTCTCTCTTTTTACAACTAAATCTTCTGCCACCATTTTAAAATCATGTTTCATTTTGACAGCATCCTAGATTATCAGAGCTAAAAGTGTTCTCCTAGAAGAGTATGATGCTCTCCACAGAGGGTAAGATCTCAAGGGTATCAGTCATAAAATCTACTTTTGTACACACCCACATATTCCCTCTACTCATTGACAAAACCTTCCATCTAGGAAAGCCTTCCTTCCTCTCTTCTTTCCTCCACATATCTATCCCTGTTAATTTGTTCATTCAGCCATTCATTCACCAAGTTCTATCAAGGTGCCTACTAAATGTCAAGCCCTGTACTAAGCCGTAAATATTATGGAGACAAATCACCAAGCCCTTCCCACTACTAATGAGGAAATAAGTGCAGGAAGGGAAAGGATTTACCCAAAGTCATACAAGTCAGTACTTAGAAGACTAAGGCTCCATTCAAGAGATAACAAAGGTCAGTAGGAAAAAAGGTTTATGAGGTTTCTTTGAAGAACAGTGAATTATATCTATATATATGGGAAGGGAAGCAGTCTAGAGGCAGGACAGAAGACAGAATGACCCTTACTTAACAAGCCATCTAACAGGGGAGTTCAAGACTTATGAGAACTAAACATTTCTGAAGCTTAGAGGGAAGAAAGACAGAAACCAGCTTCCCCCCAGGAGGAATAACTGCCCAAGGCAACTGGAATAGCAGAAGCTAGGCTTACAATACATTTCTGGAATGGTGAGACAGCCTGGACAGTGATGTCAGCCTAGTCTCAAGGGTACAACCCAGGTGGAAACAGGTGGCTCCCAAGAGCTAGCAGCACCAGGCTTGTAAGGAAGGGACAAGGCCTTACCTTTCCTGAAGGTCATGCAAACTCTGCTCAGCTCTGTGTAAACCCTCCAAATCCTTCATCATCTTCTTCATGTGCTCCTTGGAGTAACGGTTCTGGATATAGGCAAACCAGCAGCCGCCCACACCAATAACAATAGATACCACCAGCATGAAGTCCTTGAGGTGATTGTGGCGGGTCACTGCCAGAGAGGAGAGGGCATAATGAGTCAGGGTGCCCACTGCACACTTAGCCTTGCAGACTCACTGCATCCCCTACTTTATGATGCCTCCCCCTGGCAGTCACACATTTCTCTCAGGAAGAATTAGTTTATCAGACACATACTTGCCATATACTACTACAGTAAGCTCTGTGCTTATTTCTCTGCTAGTCAGGGCCTAGGTTGGAAAGGTTGAGAAGCCTAACAGTGATACAGGAGGTTTATTAATTCATATTTCCCTAAGATACAATGAAGAGGAAAGAATCATGCCAATGTATCCCAGCCATCTCTGGGCTAGGATGAGCCCATGTGCCCAGATGCACTGGCTTCCATCCTACAGAGGGTAAGCAATGTAAAGGCAAAAGAAGATGGCTAGGATAAACAGAATAAAGCCATGGCACTGGAGCCTGAGGTCTAGCTACAGGACTAAGGTTACTGCAGAAGTTGTGTTTCCTGGACTAGTAGGCCATTTTAGCACAACGTCCAAAGCACAGATCAAGTAAAGGTCTTGAATTCTCAATCTACAGAGAGCATTTCTAGGCTGTAGCTCAATCAAAGATCAGACAGAAGAGGAGTAGCATCAAGAGATTGGCGTATGAAAGCCATTACACATGCCCAAAACTGAGAAGCAGATCTACCTCCAGAGAATGCCTGGCAATAATTTAGTGAATGCCTGGCAATAATTCAGCCATCAGGTATGATTAAAAGCAATGCCCAGTCTCCAGAGAAAATTTAAATGCTAAATAAGGAAAAATAAAATAGAAGATAAAAACAAAAACCACCTTCCCAAGAACTTAGTGAACAGGATAGGAGCATTTCTGGAGCCTGACATTGTTCCTAGTATGCCAGATCTGGGCTCTGGGCCATAGCACAGGAGATTTGAAAAGGATATCATAAGGAGAAGAGGACTGCTGCAGTGGCCTATCTGGGATGTACTGTGGATTCAGAGGAGCCATAAATAAAGGAATCAGAAAATGAAGGAAAAAGGAGTTAGACCAAGGTTAAAGACCCCCTCTGTGCATAAAAGGTTGTCCTCAGGTAGGGGAGAAGATAGAATTAGCAGGATACCAATGCCTGGTAAAGACCCAGGTACAGCCACCAAATTGAGGGAGGGTCTAGCTACATGAAAAGACACATGTAGCTGGAAATGACATGAAGCTGAGGGTCACAGTTTGACAAGAAGGGTTACAGTCATAGCTCTCACTGAAAAGCTGAGCAGCAGAATATGGGGATGGCATGGGATCAAAGACAAATTAGCACATGCTATTTCCACGCAAGGAAGGGGAGGTTCAGGGTGGCAGCCACATCTTATACATATTTATGCAGGTCCCTCAGAGAGAAAACTGAAGGCCCTCCAGTGGCCATCCTCTATCCTCCATGTGGACTTGCATTTCTAGCCATACTCATGTCCTTAGTCTCTTGTCCTTCAACTCCCAACAAGAAAAATTTCTGTAGCATAGTCACTTTCTTTTCTTTCTGAACACATTTGTCTCTGCTACAGTCTCTACTAGAGCCTGGGGTATTCTTCATTTCCCCTGCTTGCTAAGGATTTCTAATCTTGGTTTCATGGGGTTTCTTAATGCCAACATCCCCTTTTACATTCTTTTTTTTTTTAATATTTATTTTTTAGTTGTAGTTGGACATAATATCTTTATTTTATTTTTATGTGGTGCTGAGGATCAAACCCAGGGCCTCACACATGCCAAACAATCGTTCTACCACTGAGCCACAATCCCAGCACCCGCCCCTGGCCCTTTTACGTTCTTAACAAAAGACCAAGGTACCTTCATTCAGACAATACTCTATGAAATAAACATTTTTGTCTGTCCTCTTATTACTTTCAGAATTCAAAGTTCTTAAGGTGGGCATGCAGATTGGGCCTAGCTATTTCATTCAGACCTTTATTCTACCATGTCCAGATTGTTTTAGAAACAGATTCTATCATTTTGATCAGCTTCATATTCTCATCCAAGTCATAAATAAAAACACTGAGTGACTGGGACTAATGACAGAATCTCACAGTTACCTTCTCCCTGCCCCTGTTTCTAAGATAATACTGTTCCACCTTTTAGTACCCTCTGGATTCCTTCAACCAGTTTTGACTCCACATAAATGTGCAAACATCCACTCTATCCACCTTTCTACCTTGTCAAATGTGCAGCTAAAGTCCAGTCTGTCCCAGCCCATAAGCTGCCAAGCTTGGTGGAAAGAAAATGAGTATAATCTGGTTGATTTACTCTCCATAGTTTCTAATGATCATCACTTGCCTATATGCCAATGCCCAGCACAACATCAACTGGCATACAGAAGGCACTCAACAAATCCTTTTGGTATTGTATCTTTATGGATAAATCTGGAGTGTGAAAATATCTCCCTCCTCTTAATCCACACAAAAAAAGAAATAGAGAAAATATAAAATGTATCAAACATTCATATTCACCAATTCTAATCCTCACACCTACTCTATAAGAGACAACAATAGTGTTCATATTCTATAGACCAGAAAACTGAGGCTCTATAAGGGACACTGACTTGCTGGAGCTCATAAAAAGTGATAGAGCTGTATTCAAATCTAGATTTGTCTGGCCACACTATCTTTCCTCTGACCCACACTTTTCCTCTACAACTTTCACATTTATGCCACAAATTTTGTTTCTGCTTTGCTACATGCAAATATCTCTCACTATGGAGATGTTTAAATTGCCCTGATCTAACTTAAATCTATAAGCTCAATGCCTGTGTTTTCACATAAGCACGTCCTGGGAGATGATTGTAATATTGCCATCAGATCAGTGAAGATCTAAAGGTCAAACGGTCAAGCTTTTAAAGTTGAACACAGAGCCTCACATAGAGAAATTATTACACCATCATAGCATGTATCCTGCACTATTAGGAAGTCTGGGTTCTATGCTAGACTGCCTCAATTTGTTATGAACTTCACTTCTCCTGTCTGGACCTCATCTTCCTCAACTGTACAGTGTTACTACAAAATTACTTAAGAGAATGCTTAGGTATAAATCAAAATGTTTTGAAGGGTGAGGGAAACATTCAGATGGACACATACAGGATGTAATTAAGAATGTGGGTATTGAATGTGATGAAGATGAAACAGATGTAGAAACTGTCAGGTCCCTTCAGTGGAGCCCTGAGCTGAACACTACACCACCAACGGAATCTATAAATATTTGTTTAGAAATAGAAAATAGGCAAACCAAGATACTAGTTACAGGGCTGGGGATGTGGCTCAAGCAGTAGCGCGCTCGCCTGGCATGCTTGTGGCCCAGGTTTGATCCTCAGCACCACATACAAACAAAGATGTTGTGTCTGCCGAAAACTAAAAAATAAATATTAAAAAATTCTCTCTCTCTTTCTCTCTAAAAAAAAAAGATACTAGTTACATCTTACAGTTATGTACTTTTTCCCATCATAATTCCATTCCAATCCTTCAATTCCTACCATCTTCCCATCTTTCTAGCCTACCACATTTCACAGAGTTCCCCCATTCCTTCTCCTCTAGTAAGGATTCCCAGATCAATCCATTCTTTGGACAGACAGATGAGAATGGACTGTTTCTCTGCTATCTCAGGGAATGCATTTAATGTTTTTCAACTTTCATGTTGGTCACTTTCTGGTAGTTAGTGAGTTCCTCAGGGGCAGCGCACAGATTTATTTACCTCTGTAATCCCATACTTAGCAAAGGATCTGACCAGAGTAGGTACTTGGCAAAGGTGAAAAAGAAAGCAAAAGAGAAGAATGGAGGGAGGCCTTTGCAGGAAAGGAGAGTGCAAAACAAAGTACATGTAAAGGGCAAATAGTTTCTGAAGACAGAAGAATATGTCCAGTGGTACTGAACAGCCTCTATACAAACTCAGCTCTTAGAATCCACCTCACACTCAATCAACAGAGGCAGGGTGGAATAACCAAGTTCATTCTGACACAGCAGATATGGCTGGCTAGGTAAACAGAGCTAACCTAGGGAAAGATGACTGGGACTTGGAGAACCTGAGAATGATAGAATTCCCAGTCCAAATGCTGCAAATAAATTTTAGCAAAATGAGATCAACTGTTAACATCATCAGGTGGGGAAGGTAGATGTAAACAAAAGAAATGGTATTAATAGAGTAAGGGGTGAACTGGAGCTTAGGTTTTGATGTGAGTGGGGAAAATTAGTACACCAGGACAGGAAAGCCTGAAATGTGCTGCAGACAAGGGGCTAGGGTTGTGGCTCTGTGGTAGAGTGTTTGTCTAGCATGCATGAGGCATTGTCAGTTCTCAGCACCATGTAAAACTAATAAAGATACTATGTCCACCTAAAACAAAAATATATAATAATAATAAGAAGAAAAAAAGTGCTGCAGACAGTCTTATAATGCAGAATCTAGGACCAGAGAGTCAAGCCTGCCCTGGGCAGACTCAAGCTATTCTACTCATTAAACTGTGGCATGAAAGTCACTCCTGGTCTGCCTGCTATGTACAGGGAGCTGAAGCTGGAGACATATTTAAACATCTGCACTGCAGTGGTACCAACTCAGACTGGGAACTTAGATCCATGTTTTGAGACTTAGTCTGATACATAAATCTGTCAGACACCAGCCACAAGACCTAAACTGAGCCTAGCAAATCAGGACCATTTCTGGCATGGACAGTTATCTTTCCTAGAGGTAATGCACATCAGATAGGCCAAAGAGAGCCTGCCCTCCTCTCTTCCCTTGACACACCAGTAACCAAGATCAGTGGCAGTGGCTTCAAAATCTCAATGTGCAGGAGTGATGAAGGTTGGTGCTTGGGGGCAGACCTTAGGACATCAGAAAGAACAATACCCTGGAAAAACAGAACTGGTAAATGACTGGCTTCCCTGTCCCATGAATGTAGCCCTGGGAGAAAAGTGGGGTATAGTACCAGGTGTGCTTTGATTTATTTATGCCCAGTGACTCCCCATGCAATGAAACATCTGGGGCAAAGATTGGACTTCCTTGCCTCCC